TTTTTTCGGCGCCGTGCCGTTGAACTTTGGTCACTAAATGAACCGTCGTTAAGTCGAGGACTAGCTGCCGAGGGCCCGCCCCCCCCAACCCAGACCCTGAAATCTGGCCTGGAGGACCAGACTCCCTCCCTCCCCAGGCAACCATTGAAGTTTCCCTTCTCATCCCACAAGCTTCTTCGGCTCCGACTAACAGTTCTGTTCTTCCGTCAGAACCGGAAGAAGCTTCTGGGATGAGAAGGGAAACGTCTTCTAAGGGGGAAAAAAAAAACAAAGCAAAAAGCAAGCTCTAGATTGGATGGTGGGGAATGGGAAAATCTACCCTCCTTGCAGACAGCTGGTCATTTGCCTGCTTTTAGGGGGTCGTTGAGACCACTTGGAGGCTTGTGTGTGTGTTGGTGAAAATGGGTGTGTGGGACCTTCCATTCCCCACCATTCAATGAGAGCCGAAGAAGCTTCTGGGATGGGAAGGGAAATGTCTTCAAAGAATAAGAATGTCCCACGAGGACACAGATAAACATCCAAGTGGCCTCAACGACTCTCCAAAAGGAGGCAAATGACCAGCTGTCTGCAAGGAGTATAAATCCTTCCCTTCCCCACCACCCAGTCCGAGCTGAGGAAGCTTCTTGGATGGGAAGTGAAATATCTTCAAAGAATCCTATGAGGACTCAAACCCTCCAAGTGGCCTCAACGGCTCTCTGAAAGGAGGCAAATGACCAGCTGTCTGCAACGAGGATAAATCCTTCCGTTCCCCACCATTCAGTGAGAGCTGAAGAAGCTTCTGGGATGGGAAGGGAAATGTCTTCAAAGAACAAAAAAGTACCACGAGGACACAGATAAGCCTCCAAGTGGCCTCAACGGCTCTCTGAAAGAAGGCAAATGACCAAGGAGTAGAAATCCTTCCAATGCCCACCATCCAGTGAGAGCTGAAGAAGTTTCTTCGATGGGAAGTGAAATATCTTCAAAGAATCCTATAAGGACTCAAAACCTCCAAGTGGTCTCAACGGCTCTCCGAAAGAATGCAAATGACCAGCTGTCTGCAAGGAGGATAAATCTTTCCACTTCCCACCATCCAGTGAGAGCTGAAGAAGCTTTTTGGATGGGAAGTGAAACGCCTTGGTCATTTGCACTCTTTTACAGAGTCGTTGAGACCACTTGGGGGATTTATCCATGCCCTCGGGGTCACCTAAATAGTGCGAATGGGTGTGGAGGCTTCTTGGAAGCGCTGAAAGGACCTTGTTGTAGATGTGTAGGTGTCATATCCCTCCGACACAGAGAAGCCTCCAAGTGGCCTCAACGCCTCTCCAAAGTAATGCAAATGACCAGCTGTCTGCAAGCAGGATAAATCCTTCCGTTCCCCACCATCCAGACAGAGCTGAAGAAGCTTCTGGGATGGGAAGTGAAATATCTTCAAAGAATCCCACGAGGACTCAAAACCTCCAAGTGGCCTCAACGGCTCTCCGAAAGGAGGCAAATGACCAGCTGTCTGCAAGGAGGATAAATCCTTCCATTCCCCCACCATCCAGTCAGAGCTGAAGAAGCTTCTGGGATGGGAAGTGAAACGTCTTGGTCATTTGCACTTTTACAGAGTCATTCAGACCACTTGGGGGGATTTATCCATGCCCCCGGGGTCACCTAAATAGTGCAAATGAGTCTGGAGGCTTCTCGGAAGCGCTGAAAGGACCTTGTTGTAGATGGGTGGTGTCATATTCCTCTGACACAGAGAAACCTCCAAGTGGCCTCAACGCCTCTCCAAAATAATGCAAATGACCAGCTGTCTGCAAGGAGTATAAATCCTTCCCTTCCCCTCTATCCAGTCAGAGCTGAAGAAGCTTCTGGGATGGGAAGTGAAATATCTTCAAAGAATCCCACGAGGACTCAAAACCTCCAAGTGGCCTCAACAGCTCTCCGAAAGGAGGCAAATGACCAGCTGTCTGCAAGGAGGATAAATCCTTCCCTTCCCCACCATCCAGTGAGAACTGAAGAAGCTTCTTGGGTGGGAAGTGAAATGTCTTCAATAAGGAAATCTGACTCAAATCTCCAAATGGCCTCAACGACTCTCCAAAAGGAGACAAATGACCAGCTGTCTGCAAGCGGCCGGAGCTTCTGGGATGACCTGGATGACGGGGAATCTTCCATAGACATTTTCTCCGATGCTCGGGAGGGAGATGAACAAATCCCAAATTTGGTGCCCTCCCCAGGGCAAACCAATGGTTCTCGTGGTCTGTTCTACCCCCCCCCACACACACACCTTCAGACGCCGGCGGGACCCCCCCAACCCCACCCACCCCTCCCAATCCGTCGGGCAGCTCTCCCATCTTTCCAGACTTGAGCGAGGCAGACCTCTTCCAGTTTGAAGACCGGGCAAGCGGATTGGCCCGTTCGGCACCACAGGAAAGGGGGAGGCGGCCTTTGGCGACCGTCGTTTTAAATAAAATAAATTAAATAAACAAACACAAGACGCTTTCGCGATTTCCGCCAGCCGAAGCGACGAGTTTTATGGAAGGCGAATTGACGAACCGATCGTCCGGCGGCGTCCTTCGTGCCGCCGATTGCACCGATTCCCGAGGATTGTGCAAGAGAGCACTATTTTTTGGGAGGGGGGGAGGAACAACTGAACGGCAAGGATCGGAAAAGAAATGCGGTGTTGGGGGACTCCCCGCCCCCCCCCGGCTGGGTTTACACACTTGCACACCCCAAACAACACCGTCGACGGAGAGAAGACCCTCTTCTTTGCAGCCGTTCATTTACGGATGGTGCAGAAAAGCGACTGGACGAGCGGTCCTCGCGCTTGCGGCCAACGCGGCAGCCCCCACCCCCCGGGATTGTGATCCGGGGGGGCTCGGAAACCGTCGCAGAGCGAGGACGGTCGTCGCCTCCGTTGACGAGCACGCGCGACGTTCCCGGCTGTGTTTTTTTGACCGACCAGTCAAGCGCAACCGGGGAGCCAGCCGGGGAAGGCGGCCTTCAGGCACGGTGTCTTGCTTAGCGACCAACTCCCCGGTCCCTCCTGGGGTCGTAAGTCGAGGACTGCCTGCGGAGGGTTGAAAGGTTTTAAAAGGTTTCCTGGGGGGGGGCGAAGGGAGTTGCCACTGGAAATCCCCAGCGTTATGAAATGTCGAGTTTTTCTCTGAAAGGAATTTAGCGGATGAAGGGTTAGAGAGCTGGGGGGGTGGGGAGGGGGGAGGAAGAGGATGGTATTCTCCCCCCTGCCCCCCCCTTGCAGGCCTGGCTGTGAGATCAGGCAAGGAGCAAGTGGGTAGTAAACAGAAATTAAAATCACTTCTAATTGTGTTGGGCTGGGCTGATATTCCGGCAAGCGGCCAAAAAAAAAAAAGGGGGATTTGCAGCAAAAATAGCCTCTCTCACCTTGGGGTGTGTGTGTGTGTGAGAGAGAGAGAGAGAGACAGAAAGGGAGAGAGAGAGAATGAGAGAGGAAGAGAGAGAGGGAGGGATAATGAGGGAGGGAGGGAAAGAAAGAGGGAGAGAGGGAGAGACAGACAGAAAGAAAGGAGAGAGAGAGAGACAAAGAGGGAGAGGGAGAGAGAAAGGGGGAGGGAGAATGAGAGAAAGAGGGAGGGAGGGAAAGAAAGAGGGAGGAAGAGAGAGGGAGAGAGACACAGAGAAAGGGAGGGAAGGAGACAGAGACAAAGAGGGAAAGAATGAGAGGGAGAGAGAAAGAAAGGGATAGGAAGAGACAGAGAAAGAGGGAGGGAGGAAGACAGAAAGAGGGAGGAGAGATGGGGAGGGAGAGAGAGAGAGAGGGAGACAGAGAGAAAGGGAGAGAGAGGGAGAGAATGAGAGAGGGAGAGAGAGAGTCTTTGTTGTTATACAAAGTTGTCTTACTCCTGATCACAAGGGGCACCTTGCCAAACTGGAATCACAATCTAACCTTCCTGGAGGCTCACTTTTGTAATGAAGGGCACACAGGGCAGCTGTGGGTGCAAGGGAAGGGAGAGGGGAGAGGGGATGGAGAGAGAGAGGAGAGTTAGAGAGAGGGAGGGAGGAGGGAGAGAGGGAGGGAGAGAGAGAGAAGGAAAGCAAGAGGGGGAGGGAGAGGGAAGGAGAGGGAGGGAGGGAGGAGGGAAGGGAGAGGAGAGGGGAGGGGGGATGGAGAGAGAGAGGAGAGTTAGAGAGAGGGAGGGAGAGAGGGAGAGAAGGAAAGTGGGAAGGAGAGGGAGAGGGACGGAGAAAGAGAGAGGAGAGAGAAAAGGAAAGCAAGAGAGTGGGAGAGGGGATGGGGAGAGGGAGGAGAGAGTGAGGAGAGAGAAGGAAAGAGTGGGAGGGAGAGAGGGAGTGGGAGAGAGAGGGACGGAGAGAGAGGGAGAGAGAAGGAAAGCAAGAGAGTGGGAGGGAGAGGGAGGAGGGAAGGGAGAGGAGAGAGGAGGGGATGGGGAGAGGGAGGAGAGAGAGATAGAGAGGGAGAGAAGGAAAGAGTGGGAGGGAGGGAGAGAGGAGAGAAGGAAAGCGAGAGTGGGAGAGAGGGAGGGAGGGGAGGAGACGGGAGAGGGCAGAGGGGATGGGGAGAGGAGACAGGAGGAGAGTTCGAAACAGGCAGTCCTCGAGTTCACCACTGCAACCGAGCCGAAAATTTCCGTCGCTCAGCGAAACCGTTGCGACGTGCGTTTTGCCCCCCCCCCCCGCATTTCACCCCGGAGCGCTCGCTCCCTTGGCGGCCCCTCCCTCCCAGAGGATGCTCCAAAGAAACCCCCCCCCGGTGCAAACATCCCCCTCTTGATTTGTGGCCCCAAACCCCCGCCCGCCCCACCCGCGTGGCGCCCACCGTGGAGACCTTCACAGCTTTAACGGGAAAAGAAGAACCGTCGGCAAAGGGGTGGGGGGTCGCCTCCTGCTAGGCCAGGCACCGTCCCCCTCCGGACGAGACCCTCACCCGGCCACGGGGCTCCGAGCTCAGGCCCCCCAAGAGACCCTGCGGCGCCCCCCCTCCCCGGCGTCCTCTGTCCGGTGGCTGTAAGGGGGGGGAGGACGAGTCTCGGCGTCCGTCATCTGCGGTAGGCGGCGAAGGCCACGAAGCTGAAGAGGAGGGTGAGGCCGGCCAGGCAGGTGGTGGCCGTGGCGGTGAAGGCGTGGCGGTGCTGCAGCTGGAAGTACCAGAGGGCGCCCAGCATCAGCACCATCAGCGGCACCATCAGGCCGCCCACGTTCAGGGCCGGCCTCCGGGCGGCCTCCGGGAGGCTGCGGGATCCGGCGCGGCCCGAAGAGGGGCCCGGCGAGGCCCGGCGCTGGGCGACGTGGCAGTGGAGGACGCTGTTGTGGGTCAGGTGCAGGGCGGCCAGGGTCTGCCCGTCGTCCCGCAGGAGCTGGCCCTGGTAGATGAGGCGCACCAGCTGCTCCTGGCCCGGGAAGTAGAGCCTAGGGGGCGAGGAGGAGAGAGGCGGTGGGGGGAGGCGGCCCCGAGTCTGGTCCCTGGAGCCCCTGCCCGGTGGCACCCAGCAGCGGCCGCCTGCGCTCTGTGTGTGCTCAGGAGCCCCAATCTTCCCTCCCGGGGTCTCCCGAGGGGGGGGCAGGACCCTGCGAATGTGGCAGGGGGAGGGGTGGGTGAGAGCCGGAGGGAAGCAGGCTGAGCACCCAGAGACCTCCCCTCAGAGTCGGACCGGGGTGCCCCCTGCCCATCCCCAGGGCCTGGGTCTTCCCTGCCGCCAGGGAAGCCAAATGGGGACATGAGGATGAAGAGGGTGATGGAGGAGGAGGGGGAGGGAGAGGGGAGGAGAAGAGGAGGAGGAGGAGGAGGAGGAGGGGAAGGAAGGAGGGGAGGGGAGGCAGAGGAGGAGGAGAAAGAGGAGGGGAGCAGGGGGAGAAGGGGGAGGGGAAGAGGAGACGGTGGTCC